CCCCCTCCCCCCCATTCCCTCCACCACCCACAGTATCATTGTTTACACACAATTTCCCTCCCTGAAATGAGTTTGCATATCCTCACCGCATTCCAACTAAAAACATCAAGATGACCTTGTGCGAATGAAGTGGTTTGAGGGGATGGTAGACTCGACAGAGGAAAATGGAGATAAGGTATAACAAAGGAGACGAGACTCCTGAGGGTGGAGGCCATCGTGTTCCTGGCGGGTGAAAAGACGGAGAATAAGGATAAGACGATGCCAGTGTACACAGAAAAAGGACAAATCGTCAGCGACAACCCCTGTGGGGGTGGCCTCTTTCCCCGGCCCATTCGATCGAGTCCTCTGTCTCCCGGTTACTGCCAACCTTGGCCCCAATCTCCAATGAGACGACTATACAAACTGTATCATCCATTTCCAAACATCAAAGAAGAAAAAAATGAATGATGAAAAAAAAACGAACTTTTCAAAACTAATTAAAAATTACGTTAAAAGATAAATGAATCCCGTGAAAAAACTCGTCAGTAGTACTGCAAATGCGAATGAAAAGGGGGAATAAAAATGATTAAAACAGGGTAGATTAACTGTGTGGGATGAGGCAGGATGATGGTGGTGGTGGATGTCGAATGAATTAGCAAGTGGAAAGGGTCAGTGCAGAGAGAGAGAGAGAAGGGAGCGCACGGAAATTGACGATGTCGTTTTCCAGCATCAGTGGGCCAAGGGCAGGGGGAGAGACTCAACCTTGACCCAAAAAATTAACGAGGAATTAGGTAAATCAGCGTTGGGCCGACGAGCCAGGGCTATGGGGAGGATGAAATATACAGGTGGCGAGAGATGGGGGTGGGAGAGGATAGTGTGTATTTGGTATTGATGCAGGCCTTGGGGGTTGATAGGTCCACCCCGTGGGAACAAGATGAAATGAGACAGAGGGATGAGACTCCATACACTGTCTGGAATAGAGAAGGAGTGGTGAATCAACGGGGGTGACAGGGGTGTGTGGAGATGTCGGCGGCTTCGGCGGTGGCGGGGGGGGCG